CACGGACTACATAGTTCTTGATTCCATACAACTTGTAAGGAGTCCTCTGATTTGCTTGAACGATATCCATGGTTTGGAGGAGTCCCGGTCCATCCTTAGCATTTTGACTTTTAAGGTCCTCGTGAGTCCTTAGCACGAGTTCCCAACTCGCCTCCTTGGTTTGCACAATCCTTTATGCCAATCATCCCTAGTCGGTTGCATCGTAGAGTCCAACTTCAACCCCACGTGTAATGCAATTGGTTGTGCTTTTCCGATGGTGTCTTGCGTGTCAAGGTCTTTTACCGATGACACCATGTTTGGGCGACCCATGGTTCTTTACCCAAGACTCGCGTTCATCAATCGAGGCACACAAGTGCGCCATGAATCAATAAAGTGAGGAGTTAAGAAATCAGCACATTGTACCAGTAGGCGCGAGGTGGGCGGTCGTCCGCCTGCCAAGCTCCTGTTGGGGACCCGTCAAGGTCCCGTCCAGGACCCGTTAGGGTCCCATCAAGGTCCCGTTGGGGACCCGCGGGAAGGTGACTAGGAAGAGTGAATTTCTTCGGGAGAAAAATCCCAAGAATGCACCGATTCAAGTCCCGACAAGCCCCATGCCCATGTGCACAATAAAAAGGTACTTGAATACATAGGATGACCCATCGTATAATTTTATTGATCCTTAAGTACGAGTTATAGATGAGTCAAGACTCTCGCATGTTCTTTCCGTTTAGTAGGTCGGGTCCGGTTCCGAATTAGCAACCTCGTCACCTTCACCGGGAAGTTGGTTATAAGCCAATTTTGTCTTTTCCTTGCTTGATTGATGACAAGCCTTCTTGGTCTTTCTTGGAGTTCGGCTTGTCGCTCGTTCTTTGTTCAATCCTTTGGTGACCAAGTGCTTGGTGATGCATTTCTCTTCCTTGGAATGCATTTGCTTGACTGCCCTTTGACGCCGCATGGTGTTTTGGCAATTTTGTGTGTTACATGTACTTCTTATGGTTCCTTAAAACCATCAAGGTCCTTGTTCCAAGGTGAGGCCCTTATTGCCGGGAGGCCCTAGTTGTATGATACTTTCTATGCGTCTGTGTAAATCTTGCATTGCACTCCGTATAGGTAATGCCTCCAAATTTTCAGTGCGAATACGATGGCGGCTAGCTCGAGGTCGTGGGTGGGGTATTTTCTTCGTGGGTTTTGAGTTGCCTAGATGCGTATGCTATTACCTTGCCTTTTTGCATTAGCACGCACCCCAACCCCTTTTTGGACGCGTCCCCGAAGATCTCGAACCCTTCCACCCCGGAGGGGATGGCTAGTACGGGTGCCGTGGTTAACTTATCCTTCAATTCCTGAAAGGCTGCGACGCAGTTGTCGTCCCATCGAAAAGGGGTCTCCTTTTTCATGAGTTTAATGAGAGGTTGGGCTATCTTGGTAAAGTCGGGTACAAACCTCCTGTAGTAGCCAGCCAAGCCCAGGAAGCTTTGGACCTCTGAAAGTTAGTTCGGTGTGGACCATTCCTTAACGACCTGGGCTTTGGTGGGGTCAACCATAATTCCTTCTTTGGTTATTACGTGGCCAAGGAAGGTCACGCTGTCTATCCAGAATTCGCATTTGGAGAACTTAGCGTATAGCAGGTGCCCTCTTAGAGTTTGTAAGGTTATGCGGAGGTGCCTTTCATGTCCTTCCTTGTTTCGGGAGTAGCCTAGGATGTCGTCAATGAATACAATGACGAAGTCATCCAGGTGGGGTCGGAATACTCGGTTCATGAGGTCCATGAGTATGGCGGGTGCGGGGTGGAGTCGTCCTTGTAGCCGTGCCCCTAGGTACTCTTAGTTGAACCCTCGATTGTTGCCCATAAGTTCTTTGCAGACATATCAAAGATCAACCTCGTGTCTTGAAGTAGAACGAGGCTATCACTACGTGGCGTTCCTCTGGGCATTCTCCTAACCCGAGGATTTTGTTGAAGGTTCGGATTCATTCTTCGAGGAGTGTGGGATCCTTGACTGTCTTCTTATTGGCGCCATGCTGCTGGTTTTCAGGGTCAATATTTATTGTAATGATGAGTCAGTGTCATTACCTTGGTGTGGTAAGCGTAGGGGGAGTTCTTTTAGAGAGGGATAAAGTGATGGGAGGTTATGTGTAGGTTTCACAATCTCACCGCGCGTCCTAAGATTCCTGAATCCTATGTTCCTTAATACCTAAAGTACAAGCCTAATGTCCTAAAGTCCGGTCTTAAGAGTCTTATCCTAGGGTCAAACTTAGGCTCTGATACCAACTGTAACACCCCAGATTTTCTGGATATTTAAAACTTATAAAATAAAGGTGAAATCTCATTAAATCCCAAAACATAATACAAGAGTATGGGGTGCTATGCCACACCTGAGCTAGAGAACTCAGGTGCACAGGCTAACTAACTAATATCCTCAAATAGCATCAATGCTAAATCATGGCACGCAGGCCGGAAGGGAAAAACTATCTAAGCTACGTCCAAGCTTCTAGCGCACTCCAGTGATCTACTCGTCTGTGCCTGAAAGCCAAATATATCTGTTCAGCGAGAGATGCTGGTAACCCACTCCAACGCGTTGAAATACAATACGTATAGAGGTATATATAGATATACGAAAACCATTTTGAGCATGAAGATATATATCCTACGAACTCTAGCTTTTAAAACCGGGAATGACTCGACAGATAAGGCTAGACACAAGCAACAGTTATAACAAGCGTATACAATCCACAACAGGCAAGACAGATAAAGGTGAGCACAATTAATAATCATAACCCAATGTAAACAATCCCCAGCATAAATCTCATAGTCACATCCCCCAATATACTCATAAACACAACCCATCCATATCTCATCACATAGCACACTTTGATGGCGCCACAAGACCAATCGCATGCCCATACATGAGGGTCAGCGCATATAGCTCTGACACGGCCCCGCAGCACCCTGCCCCGTCTCACCATACGGAGGAGTCGATCGCAACCGACTAATGAACCGCAGTTCTATATAATATTTATATACCTGACTGATCTTTACCAGCCTGGTTAACAGTTGGGATGGTTCTCAACCCATTCAACTGCCCGTATAGTGGACCTTTGTCCTATATAATATTTATATACCTGACCGGTCTCTACTAGCCTGGTTAACAGCCGGTATGGTTCTTAGCCCATCCGACTGCCCGTATAGTGGAACTTAGTCCTATATAATATTTATATACCTGACCGGTCTCTACCAGCCTAGTTAACAGCCGGTATGGTTCTCAGCCCACCCGACTGCCCGTATAGCCCGATTGATCTTAACCAACTCGGGGTTACATGCACACATAACACATAGCAAGTACATGCAGCCCACATTAACACATTGGGAAGGGGGAGAAAACGTATAACAAAACCTATGCGTGATCCATCACATACTAAGAATAGTCCTAAGGGGTTCATACTTCTTCCACCTAGGTCAACGGGATACCAATTCAACTAGCATGCAATATAATAGACTCATAAACCTACGAACGGTACCCGAAATATCAAACTAGACATAGGCACGATAAACGGAGTCCGTTGGGACACCACGAGGGACGGGGAAACATCAAACGGGGAAGCCGGAACCCAAGATGGGGAACATTCCAGCGGGTAGCCGGTGGGTGTGGGGCCACCCGCCGGCTCCCCGTCGGATTCGCTATTCCGGGCAGCGGGTCGCCGGCGGGCAGCTGCCCGCCCGCTGGCTGCCCGCTGCCGGGACCACCATTCCGGCCGTGGGTAGGTGGCGGGTCCCCTACCCCCCACCTACCCCCCACTGACTCTTATCACACAATTTCGCCCCGGGAACCATTGTGGAACCCGAAACCATGCTTAGACACTTTACAACGCAATCAACGACAACACGTAGACAATTAACGGATCAAATACGAGAAACGAACGGCACACAACCTATCATGCTTTTCTAAACATAATCAACACCCAAACATGCGATTACCCCACCCGATAATCCAAGAATAATATCATACGATACAACCTAGGGTTCTAATCACTTTTATATCAACAAGAATACGATTCGCCTTCTAATTGCAAGATTCGGTAAGAATAACACATAAGCATCAAGGGCATCACACAATTATCAAGAACAACACATAAACATCAAGAACTCCATATAATCATCAAGAACATCATAATTATCAAGAATCTCCCAATATCAAGATTATCAAGATCCCCCATGGGATCATCACATCAATCATCAATAATAATCATCACAAGTCATTAATACACAATAATATGGGGAAACCCTAAGGGGGAATCATAGATATAAAAATAGGTTTTGTTGAGACATGGGTTACCTCTTAGCCTTAATTAATTCCTTGGCTATGAAGGGTCTTTCTTTAAGCCTTCTTCTTTCTTGATTTCTCCTAGGAGGATTCTTAGAACTTCTTCTGTGGTGAGAGATTATGGTGGTGAAAGATCTAAGTGCCTCCTATATCCCTATTTATATATTTAAGACTCCTAATTAGGGTCTGAATGGTATGGGTTTACTAATTCTATTCCTTATAGAACTAAGGGCTTATTTTAGGGATAAGGGTCCATGGTCCATAGTGGACCATATTAATTAATTAAAAGGAATCCTAATCGTAGTCTGGATAGTAAAAGGCCTACTTCCTTTATTCCTAATAGATAACTAGGTCTAGGATTCCTAATTAGAATCTGAATAGTAAAGGGTTTACTTTCTTTATTCCTAATAGGCTTAGGACTCTAATTTAGGCAAGGGTCCACGGTTCATGGTGGACCTTATTAATTAATTAAAGGAAACCTAACCAAATTAAATCATATTTAATTATTATTAACGGGATTAATTAAATAATTAATCTGGGATTGAAGGCCGTAACATGGGGTGTTACAGGACCCTTCCTAATTAATTAATGGAATTTAATTCTCTTTTTATGGTAAGTAATTAAATAATTAATTGGTTTAGAGGCCGTAACACGGGGTGTTACACAGCTCATCATGAACACCCTGCCCGAAGGCTTCGTCCCTCCCTAGCCACGACTGGAACTCCCTCCTAATGGTCCGCCGGATCTGGTGCTAGATGGCAAAGCTCCCTGGTCAGACTCGAGATGGAACTCATAAGCCTTGTGTCCTCTCCTTCCACACTTGAAGCACTGGAGCGCCTTGTGGCCTCCCTTTCCACACTTCAAGCACTGGAGCGCTTTACCTTGACAATCTTTCCCGATGTGCTCCTTACCACATCTCCTACATCCGAAGGGTTTCCCCTTTTCCCCACTTTCGACCCGAGTCGATCCTTGAGACTGAGGAGGTGCGGGTCTTGCTCTAAAATCTTGCCTTGGCCTCTTGAAACTTTGAGATCCACTCCCTTCGCTTCTCTTCCAAGCCAACTCATTGGATCCCCTTTGAAGCTGTTGCACTCGGTACAGATCTGTTGCGCTCAGATAGGCCTCATTGAGCGTCCTAGGCTTGCTCACTGTCAAAGCTTTCCTGGTTTCGTAGTTGAGCCCCGCAACGAACTTCTCGACCTTAGCCAACTCGGTGGGAACCAACATCCGCGCAAAGCGAGCCAACTCGAGGAAGCGTTTATGGTATTCCACCACAGTCGATGACCCTTGTTAGAGATGCGGGAGCTCTTCATACATGGCTGCCCTAACGTGAGACGGGTAGATTCTCTCCCTTAACTTGTCCTTCAAAACCGACCAATCGAACCCTGGCTCTTCCTGGCACGTTGGGCCTTCTTGCACCCACCAAAGGTCTGCCTCGTGGCTAAAGTAGAACGTAGCAAACTCGACGCGGTGGTCCTCCGGACAACCCATTACAACGAAAATCTTGTCCAAGGACCTGATCCACTCCTCAAGCAGAACAGGGTCTTCTTCTACAGCAAAGACAGGCGGCCTATGCCCCGAAACTAAGCGGCCCACATCTCGATTCCCAACAGGCGGCGGCGGAGGAGCGTTGTTGTTGTGCAAGAGGGCGTCGCTCAACGTCTGCATCGTTTTAGTCAGGTGCTGCAGGTTATGAGCCAGCTGCTCATTTGTCGGCTTCTCCGGGGTACGGGCACGATGGCGAGGTGGAGCCATAGTGAGATTCTACAGAAACAACACGGTTACGGCAAGACAAAAAGAAGCTGCGCACCCTTACCGACGCTGAAGACGAGAAAGCTAAGACTAAACAAGAACAGCAGGATAAACACAACAAACGATAAACAAACTCACAACTCACCGCGCGTCCTAGGAATCTTAAGTCCTAACACTTAGGCACTTAAAGGTCAACTTAGGGTCTTAAATCACACTTAATTTCTTAAAGTCCAACTCTTAGCATCCTAGGTTCAAACCTAGGCTCTGATGCCAACTGTAACACCCCCGATTTTTACCAACATTTTAAAACTTAAAATTCAACGATAAACAACTAATCATCAAAACAAACATAAAGCGGAAGCTATTAAAAACCGGGAAAAGTGTTATGTGACACCCATAAAACTATGGGTGCACAGGCTAAATCTATCACAATCATCACACATAACATTAGTGAAGGCACACAGGCCACTAGTCTAGGCACACAGGCCAACAAAAGCAAACATCTAAGCACAGGAGCTACACAATCTAGAGTCCACATCTAGCGCGCTCGTCATCTACTTAAAACCTGTAAAACATAGGGATAACTGTAACACCCCGTGTTACGGCCTTCAATCCCGGATTAATTATTTAATTAATCCCGTTAATAATAATTAAACATGATTTAATTATGTTAGGTTCACCTTTAATTAATTAGTAAGGTCCACCATGAACCGTGGACCCTTTCCCGAATAAGAGTCTTAAGCCTGTTAGGAATAATGGAAGTAGGCCTTTTACTATTCAGATTATGATTAGGATCCTCTTTAATTAATATGGTCCACTATGGACCGTGGACCATTATCTCTAAAACAAACCCTAGCCCTATAAGGAATAGAATTAGTAAACGCATACCATTCAGGCCCTAACTAGGAGTCTTAAATAAATAAATAGGGAACTTAGGAGGCACCTAGAATCCACACCACAATAATCTCTCACCACCCAAAGAGTTCCAAGAATCCCCTCAGGAGAAATCAAGAAATCAAGAAAGCTTAAAGAAAGATCCTTCATAGCCAAGGAATTAATTAAGGCTAAGAGGTAACCCATGTCTCAACAAAACCTATTTTCATAGCTATGATTCCCCCTTAGGGTTTCCCCCATATTATTGTGATTGGCGAGATATGATGATGATCCCATGAGGGATCTTGATAATCTTGATATTGGGAGATTCTTGATGATTATATGGAGTTCTTGATGATTATGTGTTGTTCTTGATAATTGTGTGATGTTCTTGATGGTTATGTGTTATTCTTACCGAATCTTGCAATTAGAAGACGAATCATATCCTTGTTGATATAAAAGTGATTAGAACCCTAGGTTGTATCGTATGTTATGATTCTTGGATTGTAGGGTGGGGAAATCGCATGTTTGGGTGTTGATTATGTCTAGAAAAGCATGATAGGTTATGTGCCATTCGTTTATCGTATTTGATCCGTTAATTGTCTACGTGTTGTCGTTAATTGCGTTGTAAGGTGTCTAAGCATGGTTTCGGGTTCCACAATAGTTCCCGGGGCGCAAAAGTGATGAAAAGAGTCAGTGGGGGGTAGGTGGGGGGGTAGGGGACCCGCCACCTACCCACGGCCGTGAAACACCGCCCGGCAGCGGGTAGCCGGCGGGCGGGCAGCTGCCCGCCGGCGACCCGCTGCCCGGAACAGTACTTTCCGGCGGGCAGCCGGCGGGTGGCCCCCACCCACCGGCTACCCGCTGGAAATTCCCCACCTTGGGTTCCCGGCTTCCCCGTTTGATGTTCCCCTCTTCCCCGTGGTGTCCCAACGGACTCCGTTTATCGTGCCTATGTCTAGTTTGATGTTTCGGGTACCGTTCGTAGGTTTACGAGTCTATTATATTGCATGCTAGTTGAATTGGTATCCCGTTGACGTAGGTGGAAGGAGTATGAACCCCTTAGGACTATTCTTAGTATGTGATGGATCACGCATAAGTTCTGTTATGCGCTTTCTCCCCCTTCCCAATGTGTAATATGGGTTGCATGTGCTTGCTATGTGTTATGTGTGGGTGTTACCCCAATTCGGTTGCGATCGGATTGGTTATCCTGAGCTGCGGTTCAGAAGCTGGCTGCGGTCATATTGATACTCTTGGGCTGCGGTCCACCGTTTGGTTGCGATCAAACGTTTCTATACGAGCTGCGGTTCGTCCTCTTTCCTGGCTGCGGTCAGATGACATTCTCTTGGGCTGCGGTCCACTGTTTGGTTGCGATCAAACACTATGATGAGCTACGGTTCATCGGTCGGTTGCGATCGACCCCTCCGTGTTGCGATACGGGGCAGGGTGCTGCGGGGCCGTGTCAGAGCTATATGCGCTGACCCTCATGTATGGGCGTGCGATTGGTCCTGTGGCGCCAACAAAGTGTGCTATGTATGAGTTGTGATTACAAGTGTCTTGGGGGGGATGTGACTATGGGATTTATGTTGGGGATTGTTTATGTTGGGTTGTGATTATTGTTTATGCTTTGCCTTATCTGCCTTATCTGTTGTGAACTGCATATGCTTGTTATAACTGTTGCTTGTGTCTGGCCTTATCTGTCGAGTCATTCCCAGTTTTAAAACTAGAGTTCGTAGGATATATCTTCATGCTCAAAATGGTTTTCGTATATCTATATATATCTCTATTGTATTGTATTTCAACGCGTTGGAGTGGGTTACCAGCATCTCTCGCTGAACAGATATATTTGGCTTTCAGGCAGAAGATTAAGTCACTGGAGCGCGCTAGAACTTGGAGTGTAGAAGTAGATAGTCTCCCTTTCGGCCTGCGTGCCACGTTTATGTAATCACACTTCGAGGATATTAGTTAGTTAGCCTGTGCACTTGGGTTCTCTAGCCCAGGTGTGGCATAGCACCCCGAACGCTTGTATTATATCTTGGGATTTAATAAGATTCTACCTTTATTATAAGTTTTAAAAAGTCTTGAAAATCTGGGGTGTTACAGTTGGTATCAGAGCCTAAGTTTGATCCTAGGATAAGACTCTTAAGACCGGACTTTAGGACAATAGGCTTGAACTCTAGGTACTTAGGAACATAGGATTCAGGAATCTTAGGACGCGCAGTGAGATTGTGAAACCTACACTTAACCTCCCCTCACTTCATCCCTCTCTAACTTAAAGGAACCTCCCCCTTCGCTTACCACACCAGGTAAGGGTGCGAATAGATAAGTTTACTTCCACAACTGGGTAACATACACTTACCCGATAAATCGCCTCGTCCTAACTCCCGTCAAAAGACTTGACAAGGACCATGACCAAAGAAAAGGAAGATTTGGAAGAGGCGGTGAAAAGACGTTGCATCAAGAGGACTGCTAAAAGGAACGGACTGCAATACTCACCAACCCAGGGTTAACCACAATAACCCCCGATTCAGACAAATGGCATGCACCTTCCGACAAGTTGCTTTATCTCGGCAAACCCGGGTTGCGTCTACAACAAACAGGAAGGAGAACTAGGACACCGATTAAAGTAGCAAATGAACGACACCATTAGTCGAATCCTTGGGCGCAAGGTAAGTATATCGCGACACCTTGCGACCCCACCACCCCAGTTTAAAATATCATCCGCCCTGAAACCCCAGCATCTTGATACCCCTATTTGTTGAAAACTCCCACCCCGAATCCTTAATTACCTTAAGAGAAAATTCACAACCGTCATGACCTTGCTCACCCTTTGTTGCGCCTAACCCAAACCCTCGGAAACCCTAAATTGTTATGAGCATTGGAATCATCGCCCTTACTCTAAGTTCATATCCCCACTCCGTTTGGAAACCCTGTTAAAAACCGTAGAGCAGCATAAAGCCCTTACCCTGCCCAGGGGCGTGAAAAACCAACATCCATCGATTCAATATTAAAATAAGTTGTTAGATAGGAATCGGCGAAGTAGGTGGAAGTTACGAATACGTATCATCCCACCCTTGCACGAAAACCGTGAAGGCTTTACGAGAAACCATAGTCGGTACGTACGCCACCGAAGAACGCCATGCGTTGACAAGAGCGGGCAAACAAATACGTTCAATGTGTCAGGGGCCCTCGCTACAGAAAACATCGTCAAATAGGTGCAACAGGCCGAACCTCAAGGAGGACATAAAGCCTTGCTAAGAATTTCATCCACCAAGGAAGGGATGAAACCCAATAGAACAAGAAAGACTAACCCGAAACCCCCCTTGACCCTTAAGAACCCTCGGCAAGGATTAGGAGTCAAGACCTAGGGATTTGACCCACTAACCGACTGGGTCCAGACTTCTGGACATCCGAGGGGAACGTACACGGAAACCATCACGAGAATTCCCCTAGAAGCCATAGAGACGAAGGGGACTTCGACACGGGAAGAGAAGATCAAACGAAAATCTTAGAATCAAACGAAGCCAAGGAAAAGGGATCACCAGTTCGACTGTACGCCACAACCAAGCCCCAAACAGGCATAATCACTCGAAGCCAAGAGT